GGAGTCTCCCTGGCACAGAGCAAGTGCCAGGCTGTATTTTATGTCAACCTGCCACTCAAATGGATATCACACCAACACAGGCAAACGCTGAAATGTGTCCTGCAGACCAGACCAGCAACCACACTCGACTTTTGGAAGGGAACTGCCATGAATCAATGCTAAATTCTTTTAGCTTTAAGTAGTCCTATCTAATTTAACAGCATATTTTATTATGCAGACTTTTACTCAAGGCAGAGGACAGCACTGCAGTTTGGAGTGGGGCTTGGCACATCCTTTGTCACTAATTAAGTACTCCTCATTAAGATGAGATCTAGGGTTTTCTAAAACCACATAAAAGTGATTAAGACACTGAGAACCCTTCAAGTCCTAAAGGTTTTGAGACTTTGTAAAGGAGGAAGCCATACCATGTATTCTGCCTAACATTTAGCTGCACTAAGCTCTTCTGTAGCCAGGGCTTCCTGACACCAAGAGATAATAAAATACATTACATAGTGGGTAGCAGCAGAGCTGCTGAAGGTGCCCCCCAGGAAAGGGGAGAGAACCTGGATTTGCACTGGAAGAATGGATTGGAATGATGACAGGTACTACGGGGATGACAGAAAACTTTCAAATTTGCAAAAGTATTCTAGCTTCTTCTGAGCTAATCCAAAGGTGTCTCTGAAGAGCACTTGTTCTTTATAGCAACACTCACACAGAGGAAGTCTTTAATTACAACACTGGTCATTAACTTTCCTACAGCTACATGAAGCACTGACCGTGACAGGGCTGGGCTCACTTTGTACACTCCCTAACTTTGGAACTGCCTGCAAAGTAGGTAAGTATCTTCATTCTTAGCAGACTGGCCTTTTGGGTGGTGTTTCATCGAGCTAAATGCCACTACTCAGTTACAAGTGGTTGTGTTTAAGGGCTGCTGATGTTGCCCAGTTTGCACAGTACATCTAGCCACCAATGCAATAAATGCCTAAGCTAATAGTTATGTTTCTTTATCAAAATACAGTTTATTTCCTGGCCAGTTCTCAGCCTCTTTTTGCTTCTCACCACAGGTTAGTCACACAAAACCCAGTTATACTGGTAAAACTACTAAAATAGTTAAGAAAAAAAAAACAGCCACTGGATTAAGACCCCTCTCATAAGAAAATAAACAGCATTAGAAAACCTCTCTCAGAACTCAAGAGGCAGAGAGAACTAAAGCTAAACCAAGAGTGTAATTTACCGATTTGTAATGATATCATCCCAGATGTTCATAGGATCCATTTTAGCATCTGGATATCTGCTTGTCCAAATTCTGAGAAGTCTCTTAAGGGAAGCCTGTGAAGCTAAGTTACCTAGAAATCAATTAAGAATACTTTAAATGCATCTAAAACCAAACAACGTGAAGAAGGCGTTAACCAAATATAGTCTAACATTCAAACCAGAGAACTGCAACAAAAGCCACTTGCATTTCTGGGCTTGCATGAAACACACTACTTGGTGATCATACTGCTTCTGTTTACTGCCAAATCCCAGGAGATTCAATAAGGACATCAGTGTCACTGTCACTGGGAATCACCACTGGGTAGGTACCTTTCCATATGAACTGTTAGTTCAATAGATAATTCTGTCATATGCAAAAATGTGTATTTCATGCCTACCTCAGTGGGTATAAGTTATATACCACATCCATCTTTGATCTCTGCCAAACACTAATCGCCACCAAAAGTGACCCCAACAAAAACCTTAGTTTAAAACTATTACTTATGCTCTTAAAAGAGATACTTGACTCTTATCACAATAGCCAGGCTAATAAAACCTTGCAATAGAACACAGAATTATCTTCAAGCCTATCTACACAACTGCAGTAGTTCTAATCATCAAGACGACAGTAAGAAGTAATTCCAGACCTACGCTCCTTTCAACAGGGGTTCATACCTCTAAGGGTTGAAACAGAAATTCAGATTATTTAACACAATGAAAGGAGAATCACTTAAGAAAAAAAAAAAATTTCTTTTACTTCTCTTGGTCATGAAGTTGATGAAATCCTGTATTTCTGTCAAAGCTTGTACAGACTGCAGTTTGGTCATTCGACTTTGATATAACAAAGTATCAATACTGGAATAGCTCTGAAAAGAAAGGGAGGGAATGGAAGATTTCATATACAGAATTTACAACATGGTTCCACTCAGTGCTCTACAAACTACCTACCTGATGCTGCTATATATTATGCTCCACAACCCAACCTTTTACACGTAATTTAATAGCCTGTAATCTGAGAGCAACTCTGCTTTGGACAAGCACAGAGGAATATTTGAGCTGCAATTCCTACCCTAAGCTTTAGGACAGTCCTAGAGACTAATCAAAACTTGCTTGTGGGTGGAACTTGCAACCTCTCAATGTAATACTCTTAAAATTTGTTCTGGGGACAGGAGGCTTCTGAAAAGATGAATGAAATAAAACTATTAATCCACAAAAAAACCAAACCAAAACAAAACAAAAAAAACAAACCACAGAAAACTACTCTGAAAAATTTCTCATAAATCAAAACAGCAACACAAATTAAAGTGGGAAGATGCACTTCACTGGATGGCTCACCACTCATTGCAGGCAGTGGATTCAAAGGAAGTTTTGTCATGACTGGAAAGCACCTAGATTTTTTCTATTTGGGCAAGTATTTCTCTCAAGACTATAATCTAGCACCAGTAACAGCAACAACAGTTTCACTGTTCCATGGGTTTATTGAGAAAAATTGTATCAGAGATAACAGAAAGGTACCTGCATGAAGATCTGCATGCCGTTGCTAATGTAATATTTGGCTCTGTCAAAATCATCTTGCAGGATGTAAAGGAGACTAAGCTCCTGGCTGTAATGCATTTCTATAATGGCTTTCTTTTGTTCTGTCTTCATTGCCTCATCAATAAAAGTTAGCAAAGTTTGGTCATTTTCCCCACCAAGCAGTAACTTCAACTTGCTGCGTATGATATAGGGCAGATATGTCTCCTACAAGATGAAAACAGGATCTTTATTTCTAGGGATGGAATATTAGATGATAATTTTTTTTGTTATCAGTGGCAGGTAAGATAAATATAAAAATATTTAAACAGGTTTCTTAAATTCTCTTTGAGACAAATTCCAGTTTTCTAACAAATCACAGGAGCCTTTTCTGATAGGCTCAAGAAGTTTTGTTAGCAAATTCTACCAGTTTCAAAAACGGTAGTTTGGTAGCTCTTAAAACATGAAGCAAATAAAAGCAATAAAAGTGACAAAAACACCACAAGAAGAAGATGATGATAAAGCTGGCCCAGTATGATCAGCCATAGACTTAAGGTAAAAATGACTCCTCGTATACAAAGCAGAAGTAATTGCTTCAATTATTTTATATATCAGGCTCTCTGCTAATTTCCATAATAAAAGTAACCCAAATAATGGAATTGATTTCCACCCACAATCACATTACTGTAGAACATCCCTGCAGAGATAAAAACAGTGCAGTATCAGCAAAGCAGTTTCCAAAAACCTGAAAAAATGGATCATTCCACGTTTTGCTTAGGTCTGGAGGTTTCCCACTATCGATATTAATGGTAGCACAATACTCCAGAGACTTCCACTCTGTGAGGTGGTCATAGCATTCCAGAGATGCAAGTTCCCAGAAGTCCTTCTCCACTTCTGCTGGCTCTCCATCTTGCCAGTCGTCTTTAGAGAGTGCCTAGGGAATGAATTGGAGGGGGAGGAAGGTTCTCAGCTGGAATCTGACACTAGTTTCAGCTCTAAGTCACCAGGCACTTCACAATATTTCTTGTCTCTTAAAAACATCTATTCGTTTACCAGAATGTGACAGAAACATAAAATGAAGAAAATTTAACCTTGTCAGTATTTATAAACAAATTCATTTCAGGTAGCCATCTTTAGTAAACCTGAATTTTTGAAGAGCAGAGGCTTTAAAAGAAGGTGAATCAGTTCTTTCTTCGTTTTTACCCACTACAACTCTGATTTTCCTTGCCATGAACACAATTTGCTCGTTTGGGGCAGCAGTGTGCCCGCAGCATTTAACTTCCCTGCCTCTGTAATCACATGTATGAAGCTTTGTAACAAACAGTGCAAAGCACCAAGCTTACTGCTCTGTTGTGATTACTCACCCGTTCCCATGTCTTTACAGACTGAATCATCAATCAAAAAGAGGAGGACATTTTAAACAATATGCTGCTTCTCAAAATGTTTAATTTCGGCTCATGAGTTTTAAGTCACGAGAGATTTATGAAACAAAACTCTTGTGGTCATTTTACCTCATCATAATATTTGGCTGCTTCAGCATAATCACTCCTTGCTTCTGCCAGCAATGCTTTCTGTGTAATTTCCTTAGTCCCAATCTTACCACTGAAAATGCCTCGAAGGACATCATAATCCCCAAGAGATCGGTACAGCCTAGTGAAATTGAAGAGGGAGAGATTTCAATGAGTTGAACAGAGAAATATTATAGCAAAAGGATAAGGTATGAAAAAAATAGCCACAGATTCACAGAATGGTGGGGGGTGAAATGGACCTCTGGGGATCTAATCCAAACCCCCTGCCTAGAGGAGGTTGCCTGTGATTGTGTCCAGGCAGGTTTGGGATCTCTCCAGAAGGAGACTCCACAGCCTCTCTGGGCAGCCTGTTCCAGGGCTCTGTCACCCTCACAGCTGAGAAGTTTTTCCTTATGTTTAGGTGGAACTTCCTGTGTTTCAGTGTATGTTTTATGCCCCTTAGTAATTCATTAAGCAGTAATACACTGGCTCATAATAGTAAAATTTTTAAAAACATATCTTATATAAAATCATAAATATATGTTTAACTAGATAAACTTTGTCTTGTAGAGTAATGTCTGAACTGTGGAAACTCCTGCAGTTGAAAAGCTACTAACAAGGTGGTTTTCAGCAGTCCAACAGCATCATCCGTGTGCACATCTGTTAAGTCACACTGTTCTAACTGAAATACAGTAATTAGCTGACAAGAAATTAAAAGCCTATCTAATTCTAAAAGAGAAAGACTGAAAAAGAAATCGCTTAAGGCATAAAGAGAGAGCTCTTCACAAGGCAAACCTAAATGACAGGCAATTGTCTCCAACAAGAATTTACTTGGCAAGTTCAATCCATCTGATGACATCTGGGGGAAGCTCTGTCCTCCCACGCATCCGCTTGGCCGGGGGCTCCTCCGCAGGGGCCAGAGCCATCAGGGCATGCTCCAGGAGGAGGATGCCCACTGGCTGCTGCAAGCTGGCAAGGCAGCTCGTGCTCACGTTAGCTGGATCCAGTTCTAGTAGCTCTCTGTGCTGGTAACTCATTTCCTGTGAAATAAAACCAACAGGTTTTCCTATAGAAGCAGCAGGTGTCTGCTTGGTCTGAACCTATGCTGATAGTCACCTTCCACAGGTCACCTCTCTGGAATCCCTTTTGTTACAGGGCAAGCTTTGGAGGCAACTCATTACATCTCCAGAAGTTCCCAGCTCTGGGAAAATTGGAATCTTTTCCTTCTGTGCTGTTGCTCTTCAGACAGAGAACATTAGAGAATAAACCTCCATGTCGTTTGTCTCCAGGGTACAAGAAAGCTCACTTGAGAGAAACACATGGGAAGAGGGGAGAGGCAGATGGACACACTGATGGACTCAGCCTTTCCTCTGTCTGTTGGCAGCATGGTGCCTGCTGCACTGCAGCTGCATTTCACAAACTATTGCTTTTGAAGACAACCATGATGTCTTCTCTGAGCTGGAAGCTTTCTATCCATGCTTGCCAGTTTTAGCACACCACAGCTTCCTGACAGACTCATTTAGCACTGCACCCATCTAGTCCTGCCTGATTGAAAGACATGACAATATTTCTAGCAGCTCTTCACTGTATTTAACATCAATCCAACTACTGAATAACCTCTTTTTAAAGGATAAACATTGTTCTTTATCTTTTTTAAACACTTATATCATCATCCCAAACACAGGTATATACATCAAGAAAGTAGAAGATAAGCTTAATAAAGCCACATTGTTAGGAGGTGTTCTTCACTTAAGAACCTAAAGGAAAGTTGCAATAGTTTAAGACAAACAGAAAGGAAAACTTAAGAACCTAAAGGAAAGTTGCAATGGTTTAAGACAAACAGGAAAAAAAATCTACAACATTGAAGAGGGGTAATACAACTTTCATTACAAAAAACTGCACCAAGTTTTAGGATAAAAATTAGTTTGATTCTTCCAACACAGTATGTTCAAGAATACTAAGTGGAAAAAAGAAAAAAAATCACTGCTTGGAATTTGCAACAGAGGACTGTGAGAACAACCAAGTTACACTTCTTTGATACATGGCAACTACCACAAAAATTGCAGAACAGGCATCTGGCATAAGCAAACTCCCTGCACAATCTCTGCACCTGAGACTACCACACCAATAAATTTGTACTCAAGAAAGAGAAAAACCAACAGTTTCTGGTAGCTTCCTTTGTGACAGATCAGGTGGATCTCAATGAGGGCAGCATGTGTTTCACCTGCTCTTCAGGCAACTTCAGCTAGGAGCTTCTATCCCAGCTGCAGGTGCCCTGGAGACTCCTATGTACAGGCACACATTCCTTGACTGGCAACTTTTAGGAGTTATGTCAGGGACCCAGTGCCAGCTGCACAATCCAAAAACTTCAAGAGCATCTTTGCTAAGGTAAGACCCAAATCCCTTTCTCAGGGGTGCCCAGGGAAAAGTATAAGAACTGTGCAATACAATGGCACATCCAGAGAATGAGTATGCTCCCAAACTCACAGTTCACAGGTGATAGTTTCCTACTTAGAGCCTTTTGGTGACTATTTGATCACTTATCCTTTGAAAGCAGAGGAAACGTTCCTTGTTCCATATGCAATGCATTCTGTCTTTGCTTGCACCACACGTTCAAGGATTAGTACCAATGGCATCCAAGCTGGCCTGACAGCTGAAATATTTATAAGACAATTATATGTTCTTCAGAGGCCAGATATCTCTAAAGAGTCTATGTGAACTTTTGGCATGGGGTTAACTTCTTTGTTAGTATTTCAGCTGGTTTTTAACCTGTTCTGAAAGGCAATTCCAGAGCCTCGTAGTCAATTTTGAAGTTATACTTGTAGACAAAACCAGCTCTTAGCACCAAGTTACTTTCCTGATAGGACTTGAAGCTGTAGAATGCTAAGAAGTCAAAAAAGAGAAGGAAGTGGCAGTAAAGTAGGAAGCCTTTCTGAAACAAGCCAGTATTTATTATATAAAAGCAACAGAAGCTGTGTTTCCAAATGGCCAAGCCACTAGGGCAGCCTTTGTGAACCCAATGATAGCCTCAGCACTGTGTGTTCTTGCTCACCCTTTCCCAGCTCTCTCCTGGTCCAGATGAACTTCATTCCCTGCTGGGGAAAAGACTTCCTCTCACTGTTATGCAGGATGCTCAAATACACAGGCTGAGGCTTGCCTTCCTGCTGCTGCTCTTCTGTTATTGAATGAGGATGGCCATGAGATGCTCTCTTTGCTCTTACAAAGTGTCTATTTTGGCCTTACCTATTTTTTAAGTCTTTGTTTTACATCTATTCAGAAAAAAATGTAGCCTAACACAACAGTGTTATCAATAGGGTCTAACAGACAGCATAACTCAACACAGAGAATAATATCAAGACAGAGAACCAACAAATGCAGTGTCAAGAGGGAATATTAACAGATAGCTATTGTGAGGTTCTGGCTCAAAAACCACCAAGACAGCCCAGAAAAAGCCCCGTAACAAATGACCTTTTATGCAGCTGCACAGAAAAGAGTAAACAAGAAACTACATTTTTTCAGATGTGTAAATACAAGTACTAAGAAGCAAAGTTTGTCACAGTTTAAAAAGCTAGGCCAAACTAGACTTTTCTCCTGTATTACAAATGACATCTACTGTCACAGAGAATTTAAACTTCCATAACAGAAAGAAGTCATTACCTGCCACTCAAAAGAAGATTAATTTGAGAGCTACAAATCAAATGCAACATTAAGATCAACACAGTTGACAAGAAACATGAAATACAGTGACAATGAGTATGTAACAGGTGGATAGACAAGGTTGTTTTTGTTTTTGTTTTTTTTTTCCCTGAAAATTGAGATGAAAGATGAAGTTCACAATCTATTCCAGGTCAGCATATTCTCACAGCAGAAAGGTTTGTGTTTCCTTCCCAGTGCAAGAGTTGTGGTGCTCCTGCTCACCCTGGGGTGGGAGCACCTCCCTCCCTCCTTAGTGAAAATCCCCATCCACTTCAGGAGACTAATTTGAAAAAATAAGTAAGAGAGGCTAACAAAAAACAGTCTGACAGCTGCTGGTATCCTCAAGTCAAAGTGCTCCTCAGCAAGCACTTCCCAGAAACAGGAAGACAAGCACATGACACCCATGCAACCCTTTCAATTGTTCTTGTGGCTTTCACTTAAAATCAAGTCTCTTCTTGTTCCTGATGGAACTAAAACATTCAGAGGTGACTCAAACTCTACAGATGAGAAATTGTAGAGAACTTGAAAAATCAGTTCAGAGGCATGAATTACCTTGTTCACCTTAACAAGAGTCACTTGAAATATCCATTTGGTTAATAATACTGTCTAAATTTCATTAACTGTATTTAACCTTCACTACCACTGGGTTTATCACACATTCAGACAAAGGCATTTTATTCCCTGATTTTTATGCCCTAAAGCAGGATTTACCTGGATGCAGGCAATGAATGGTGGAAAGTAAGACAGGCTCGAGCTCAGGAAATTGTTGAAGTTGTTCACCAGCTTCTGGATGATGCTTTTTTTCTCAGAAGGAGTTTTAGACTTTTCTACTTCATGAAAAATTCCACCAAACAAGCTACTGAAAAGCTGCTTGGCAAATGTTGGATCTTTCTGTAAATTACAACAAAAGCAATAAGGTCACTGAATTTTGCTGTGACACAATAAACTAATAAAACTAAGAGATAAGACCCACCCTGTACCTAATCCCTATGTGGACACTCTTTGGGAGTGGGATAATTAGTCTGGCATGTGTCACACCTATGCCAGGAATTACTGTACTACCCATTCAAACCCCATCTTAATTCTTCTACATAAAGAAACTCAAGACACTGTAGCTTTCAGGCCAGGGTGTCAGTGGAAAGAATGGAATTTACAATATCCACAATTCCCACTATGGGAACCAGACACCCAGTATCATCTTGCAGCCACCTCTGCCAGGGAAGAGGGTTTTAGGGAAAAAACAGAAGACATCAATATGTGGAGACCTGGAACTAACACTGAAGCTGCTAACAGAAAGAGACAGACTGTAGGGTCAGACAGTCCCATCTGAGAGCTAAATGAACACATTTGCATGTGTAACATAACCCTGTGTATCCTGGTCTATCATGGGACTGAAGTTTGGTCTCACTCTTGATCTCAAAGCTATTCAGACAACTCATGAATGTGCTACTTCCTCCTTTTACAGAGATAAGGAACCATCAAAAGAAGTCAAAGGTAATTAGGAACACTGACTTCCCAAATACTGTAAAATGGGATAGCTTCAGCCTACAATTTCTACTGCTCTCAGATAGGAAAAGGAATCACAGAATCACAGAATGTTAGGGGTTGGAAGGGACCTCCAGAGATCGAGTCCAACCCCCCTGCCAGAGCAGGACCATCTAGTCTAGGGAAACCATCTAGTCTAGGGAATATTGAATCAGCTTTACTGAATAGTCTGAGTCTTAGCCACAGTAACTTCATTTTTACAACTTCACCATAGCCATATAAAAGAATAAAAATGTCTGTTTTGTACAGTGAGATGTCCTTTGCAATCATGTCTGTAAAGACCATCACCATCTGTTTTTCAAGCAGAGGAACCCAGATGCAATGGACAATAGTTGATGTCTCAGGTCCTTGCTGCTCAACTCAACTGCAGGGGTAGGAGAAACACCCCCTCTAAACAGACTCATTAAATGAGCATCACAGCAGTTGACTACAGACCAATAAATCAGTTTTGAAAGCAGTTGCCCAGCTACATGCCATTTTCCCCTCCAAGAACAGAACGTTTCACAGGTGACCTCTGAAAAGCAGACAGACCTGGGCAAGGCCCTGCAGAGGGGCAATGAGACTGCAGTACTCAATCTGGATGTCAGGAAGGTCTCCTACTCGGTAGCTTCTGTACAAAGTAACCTGGGCATCATGCTTCATCTTCAGCTCAGACTTCATCTCCTGAAAGGCATTGCTCATGTTAAAAAAAACCACCCCATTACTTAGAAAGAGCTGTATCTACATAAGACAAACCAAGCAAGAGCATTTCTGAAGTGTTTATTCATAAACTTTTGCCATGCTTATTGAAAAATACATTTTCTAGAAAGCTGTAATAATGTTAAACCCAGATTTATCTTAGTGAAAAAGGCCAGTCATGTTCAGAGACTTAGCTCAGCAGTAAACTTTTACTACTTTGTAGTTCCTGCTTCCATCCAGGTAGTACTTGAGTCACTTGTAAAGAGGATGATTATGACTGACAGCTAGTGAGCTGCTATGGTTGAGCAAGTTACTGCCTGCCAGCTGAGCCACTGGAGTCCACAGTATGATGGTTCCCAGCCTGGTGTGCCAGCTGAGCCACTGGAGTCCACAGTGGTTCCCAGCCTGGTCCAGGGGCAAAGTAAAATAAGGTTCCTGAAGCCAGTGTGTTTTATTTCACACAGTGGGATGGGGAGGGGAAAGAAGAAGGATGAACCTGATAGAACTGACTCCTAGTAAAACTTACACCAAAACACAATCAATTGTTATAAACTGCAGTTGTTAAGTAGCTGTCCTGTCTTTTGCTGAGGCTTAAGGGAATATTTAAATTGAACAAGAACTACCACCAAATATAGACAACACCTCTCTCTTCCTATGCCTTTCTTCTTTTTCATAGCTCTCATGTGCTATAAGGAAATCAGCAGCAAGTCTGGAGGTTGGGATTTTATTTTTCACCACTGCCATTACCAGTTAAACCAGCAGACAGACGAGTGGATATTACATACATTGGTAGAAAGGAAGAAAGAAACAGAAGAAAGCTTGAAGATTTTTTTCCTCTGTAAACCTTTTATAATTTTCCTGTTTGGGCTCATTTTTCTTTTATACAACTCCAAATGGATAATTAAAAAAAAAAAAATTAATGAGCAATATGTTGGGAGAAATTAGGGCTTTGCTAAAGCTATTTCCAAATACTGTCTTGCTCAGGACCTACTTTTTTTCTTTCCTGTTTTGCCCTACCAGGAATAGTATTAACACAAGCCACCATGTTCCATGTGTGTTTATGTGCAAGGAATATCTTGAAAAGTTTAAGGGGTCCTGACATACTCTCCTCTGGTCTTTTACTGTGAAATATCACAAGGGTTTTTATTGTTTACATTTTAGTCTGTGATACAAAATGGTTTTACAGGTTCTCTCTTGAAGGGTGGGAGGAAATGGTACCTTGAGCCTGCAAGTAAATATAAATTCACTAAAATAGATGTTTGTGTGGTTCTTCCAGACATAAGTTTTGTTTACACAGTTGTCTGCAGCTGCAAAGAATTATAAGAGTGTCTCCAACTGGCAGCTCTGATCCTGGGTTCCTTTGCTCTTGGTCTAACTGCTATCATTTTTGGACAATAATGTATACTATTTTTAGTAACATGAACTCCTGAAAAACTGTGACAGAGCTTAAAAATGCTTACACTTATTGTAAGTGCAGAACACAACCAGGAAACCCACATGTAGTTCTACATTTCTGGCCGTGATAAACACTCAGCAAATGATTATTACTGACATTCCTTCAGGTTAAAAGTTACCATCAGTTCTGGTTATTCCACCAGCTGGATCACATGTTTGAGTTCACCTTCAGACACTGGATAATGCTCTCCAACTCTTTCTGCAGAGTACTGTAGCTTCATGGCTCCTAGTTTCCAGAATGACAACCACAAAAAAACTTCCCAGAGCTGTTAGGGACCCCATCACATAAAGTCACCTCATGCACATTAAGTGGTAGACTGCAAGTGTTATTATCCACCTCTTCTCTCACTTGTGCCAATATCATTTAGCTTTAAGCACATAAATAGCATGACTTCAAAACAGAACCTTCTAAAGCTTTTCAAGTAGTAACCAGTATCTTACACCCACCCCTTCTTCACAAAATTACTTCTAAAGCTGAAGTACAAGACTGCAAATGGCATTGGGACTTAAAGTTTTAAACTCATTTGGATTGACAAACCTTTTCTCTTTTCTGCTCAGCCACACCTTTTCTAGCATAAATCAGACTCAGTCTCTCTTGGTCCTTCAAGAACCGTCTCCTCAATCTCAGAATTTCTGCTCGCTCTTCTACACCTGTGGAACACAAGATCATGCCCACAGCTTTTCCTTTCCCAAGCAAACTTCAGATTTAAGCATCATATAATATACACATCATACAATAACAAGCATCTTTGTACTTACTAGCTTACCACCTAGTCTTCTAAATTTCATATCCAACAACTCAATGCAAAATCTTTCAACAAGACAGCAAATAAAAACAAATTAAGTTGTTCTTGGGAGAGGAGGTAGTGAATATTTATATAAAAACTTTAAGCACATGAATGAAGTGAAAGAGTCAAAACTATTGTATTGGGAAAGGCACTAGAATTCATGAAAAAAATCTGCCACATATGACAGATTCATTTTAAGCTCTCAAAGGCAAGAATGGCACTTGCACCATATTCTATAAAGTATGTAACATAAAAAGATATACATAAAAAGTATGTACATAAAAGAGGCACTAAATATATTCAAAGATTGAGTAATAATAATACTATATTTTTGAAGTATATTTTGAAGTATATAATAGTACTATATTTTTGAAGCTACTATTACAGAATTATCACTGGATCAGCCTCTGCTTAGGACAGTTGTGGAAAGAGGCCACTTCACAGACTGTTCACCTCAGTTCATTTCCTAGGAAAGAAGAATGAGTGACCAAAACCATACCACTATAACTGATACTTTCCTGGTAGAAGACCAGGGACTGACCAAAAGGTAGAACTGATCTCTCTGTTTCTGTAGTGCAGCATGGTCCATTTAAAACTGCCCTGAAAAAACCTTTAGGTATTGAGAAGATTAATCTTCATAGCTCTCTGCCTCAACTCCTACTATCACCCTTCCAGTCAAAATTTTAATGACAAGGTAGGCAAGGGTGAAATGAGGAGGAAATGGAGAGAAGAAGCCTAAGCCTTCAGACCAGTACTGACATTTTTCAGCTATTGACTGGGTGGATGAAGGAGCATGCTCAGAAAACAGCAGGTAATTCTAATGACAGGTTGCAATATGTTGTACATTGTGTCTGCATAGCTGAAATGGCTTGGAAAAAAGATGTTTAAAGAGCTCTCTTCTTCAGAGAAATAAAGGGTTAAATTTAAAACAGAAGGGACAGAAATGTCTCACATTGATCATCTTAGGGAGAGGTAGGAATGGAAATACCACACTGATTGTTTTCTTATCCAGTCACAGCTCCTTCATCTGGCAACACAGTTTTGCAATTCCTAGCACAACTGTAGCCTTTTGCCACACATGATGTATCACCACACACTCCTGGAAACAAAATCTCTCAAGCTGAACCCCAATTCGAATGTCTAAAAGCTAACAGACTGCCAGCCCAATAACTGACAGAGATGGTCTATAGAAATGTAATATTTATACAGAAATTGAACCATAAGGCTTACAGACCTTTAGTTTTGCTGTCCACTTCATCTCCAGGCAAACTCAATGTTTTTTTCCCAAAGTCTGGCCCCACTGGTTTCCAAGTTGCTTGTTTAAATTTTTCACTCCGTTTGGTAACCAGCAGCATGGATGAAGACAAGGATTCAGAGGATGAAGGGACTGTGTAGTCTGCCAACGTGTCAATGCTACTTCCAGTTAGCCAATTGAAAGAACTTCTACCACCTGTAAAAAAAAAAAAGTGAAAAAGCTGTAACACATCCACATATAAATTAAGTGAAAACATCTATGAATCAAGTCATTTTCCTCCCCTTAAAATACTATACCCAGTGTTTATGGGCAGAACAGATTTTAAGCTCTTAGGTAAGAAACAAACTTTTTATGGGAGGGAGACCACAAAACATACTTAAGACTAATAAAGTGGCGAGGTATTTATTTTTCATAACAAAAAAAAGCCCTTGAAAACAAAATATTTAATCCATTTACGTTTTTACATCAAAAATTCATATGCAACAGGAATGGAGAGAATGAAATCCTTCCTATGGCAACCCAAATTTCAGAAGACACTGGTCAGGACTTACTGGCATGCTGTGTAGGTGTGAATTCATACTGGCGTTGGGTGGCCCTCACTCGGCCACTGATTGACCCAGAAGCAGAGAGGGACCTTTCCTGGGACAAATTCCTGTGGACACTCTGAGAGGCTTGAGTCTCCACAAACATAGGTGTTAGCATGGTGCTTTGGTAACGCCAGCTGGAGTCGATCACAAAGTCCTAGGAACACAAGAAGGTTTTAATAAGAATAAGAATGGAGGCTTTTTGCCTTGCTTCCTTCAGACAGGATATTAAAGTACAGGATCTGAAACATCATCTCATGTACAGGGGCAAAACTTGACTATTAAAAAACACCCCAAACGTATAAAGTTCTCCATAGCTCAGCAAAAAAGCTCATTAATTTGGACTGCTCAGCTGAGGACTGACTGACAGCTCTTGTACCAGTATTCCTGTTTCTTTACAATTTTTCGTATAAAGTTCTCCATAGCTCAGCAAAAAAGCTCATTAATTTGGACTGCTCAGCTGAGGACTGACAGCTCTTGTGCCAGTATTCCTGTTTCTTCACAATTTTTCTGTAGTTTATGGTGTTTCTCTCCCCTATCCTCCTCTTTAGGTATTTCAGTACTCTATACATCAGCTACATTTGCTATATATTTTAATTAAATCTTTCTTGTTTGAAAAGAAAGCACAATTATTGCCCCCACAAACCACCAAACTTCTGATACTGTGCATAACTCATGACTGCTGCAGCTGTCTGGAGTACAAAATGCACTTCCAAAAACCTCCCTCACTATACCACTCTTGTCCAAGTGGTAACTACATTAAGGAATAGAATTTGTCACATGGTTGCACACAGGATAACTAACACATTACAATTCACCTGAAACTTGCATTCAGACAGTGGGTGCTCAAATATTTTTCTGGAATAATCCGGGCTCTTGCTAGTCATTTCAAGTAGAAAATTTGTGATCAGACTCAAGTACTGTGTTTCAATCTTGGCAGAATATAAAGAATTTAACAACGACAGCATGCGATCAACAATATTTGTGGGTAACCTTGTCTCATCACTCCAAAAATTCCTCACAATTAGTCTGTAAAAGCAAGGAATAAAGTTATTCTTTGTTATCTGCAAATAGAAATCACAACACTATCAAAAACGTCAAGCTGAAGAAAACCCACAACCCAGTAAGTTTATAAAGCCTTTAACTAACCCTTTAATGCTATGGATCTTCCACTGAATTACACCAAATTCCTCATTCATCTGCCATACTCTATGTCATTTGACTGACATGAAATATTTACTGTGAAAAAATAAGTTTTATTGAGTTGTTTTCCTCTTGAGAAGTGTTACGATTGGATTAACAGAGAGATCTCTTGTTCTTTCACTTCACCAAAAAACTTGAAAAATCCAACATCCTCCAACATTTCATCCATTTTTGAGTGCTTGTGTACAGTGAGGGCCAGTGTTGTTCAAAAACTCCAGAACATTAATGCAGGATTAGGTCTAACACACTGAAACAACTTCTTCATGGCCAAGAAGTCTGTTCAAAATCTCTGTGCTTCACTTGAATATGGTGTAACACTAGAGGACATGATTTTATAAATTAACTTACTGGAATAATAGGAAATAATGTTTATCTCACTGTTACTCTTTTATATTAAAATACTTTAAAAAAACTCTAAGAGTCACCTCTTCTATTATAAACAAAGAAAGAGCAATTTAGGGATTTGTTACTTTAGATAGTCATGCAACACTCTACTCACTGCAGTTCAGCATTCTCATCAATTAGTCCTTGAAGCAGTATTTCTTTTGCCAGTTTGAGTATCTCCTGAGAATCACCATCTGCCTGGCTTTCTGGATCACTGATGGTAGGAGAAAAATGTCTCAATGACTTCTTTCAAACAATTCATAGCAAAAGAAGAGGATGAGGATGGTGGGAGAACAGGAAGAACAAGTCCTTCTAATAAAAACCTCAACTTGGCATGACAATGCTACATTTTTTCCATAATATGAGGTCTTTATTGCCAAAAATGTCTTGTCTCTCCATTACTTAGAAAATAAAAGAAATATGAAAGCTAAGTAACACATTAGGTATTTATTACAAAGACCAAACTAAAGTAATTGAGTTTCAAAGGTTAAGACTGAGAAAAAGGGAGAGAATTAAACTTTTCTCAAGCGACACTGGAGTAAAAATAACCTGTACTTTTTCTTCACAATAATTATTCATTCAAAGAGTTAAGTTATCTTGGGAAAAAGCACAAAATAGAACCCAACTAAGTTAGATGATTCAGCAGCAACCTGCTTGTCAAACTAAGTACATGCTTGTTCCCTACTCTAAGGGGTCAAATGGAAAGAATGTCTCTATACTATCAGATTGACAGGATCCAGATCATGCCAAAATGCCTTAATACACCTCCCTGCTGTTCTTTAGTGTACAACTCTTACTAGTTACAAATTCTGGCAACAAGAAAAAAGTGCTAAGTGCATCAGAGCTAAGACCTCTTATGCCATCATGCTGTGGTGATGCAACACCCTGGTTCTGGGCTAAAGTTCAGGTCTAAGTCTGTGTCTTAGTAGAAGTGATAAAGTTGCCACCAAAGGCCAGAGCTACTTGGGCAAACCAAAGGTTCTGTTCTTCTGAGAACTGGAAAAATCCCACACTGAGGGACAAGAAGTTAGAAAAGAGTGTTACAAACACTTTCACTCTGCCTTGACAAAAGCACTGAAAGACCATATCTGCAGTGAATACACACCTGTAATTATCATAAATCCACATCAGAATATCATACATGCGCTGTCGACATACTACAGAAGGGTGTGAAATGAACCCTGTCACTCCAGGAAGAAGTTCCTTAAGTTCTGGTGGTTTTAGTTTAGATAGCATCTTGTACACTATATCCAAACAAACCCTCTGCCTTTCATCATCCCTAAAAATAGAGGGGAAATAAAGACTTGTTACATTGCTTTTCTCTTTACTACTACACACAGAAACAGAAGATAGTTTAGGTCTTAGCAACAATATTTGGTTTTTCAACCAAAGGGCTTGAGGTCAATACTTTTGAGTTCAAACTAATAGTAACACACAACAGAATTCACATCCCAGTGAGGTGTTTCACCTTAATGCTCTTCAGTGCTTTTTGTTTGTTTTTCCAGTGAGCTAGCCACCTTCATATTTAAATCCCAGATTCCACTAGCTCACATTAGGAGAGCACTGCCCAAAAAGTGAACATGAATTATAAATGATTCCAAACAGAAAAACGTTGTGGCCAGCACAGAAAACGTTATGAAGAAATCCAGACTATGCATCCATGTTTGTAATCACACGAGCACTCACCTGTGATTCATGATCTGGAAAAAGTCTTTACTCTTTAACTGCAAGTGGAGATCAGGTACTTCCTCTGCCCGGCACATGATTACTTCTAGACAGTAGGTTTTCATCACACCATGGAGTTTAGGTATCAAAAAGAATACTGCATTCATAAACCTTAACATAACCAGGAGCCCACAAAGAAAAGCAAGTTATTTTCTATTATTCCTCTAGATCTACAATGAACATAGCATGTACATCATGACATACCTGTCAGCAAGAGGTGGGAAATTCTTAACAACTTTATTCAAGCATTGAATAAACTTATCCTGTTGGGCGTTCTGATGATGTTTTAATTGTCTTATGACACAATCATAAACTGGATCTTCAAGTACCTGGAAAGGAGAATGACAGTAAGACAAGCACAGCCACGAAAACTCATAACCACCTAAGTGACACACAGTTCTGCTGCTGTACTGTGTGATTCTAGTGCCTTTTGCTAAGTAAGATCCACCCGCCTCATCTTGACATTTATGGTGCTTCTTGGCTGCTGTACAGCTATGCCTGGCTGAAACACTTGACTGTCTGCTTCAACAATACACCTGTGAGCTTCTTTTGACTGGTTTGGAACCAACGCCTTAAATTTGAAATACAGGTGGCTTTACATGTTTATATAAATATTTCTAATTCGATATAGCAGATTGCAAATTAATGAATGTTAAAAAAAAGACATTCTAAGTGAAAATGTGAAAAATAATCAGCAGCCTTCACTTATATGTCAAAGAAATAAGCCTTGTATAGGATAAAACATTTGCACCATCTTTGCTCATTGGTTCAAAATACTGCTTATAAATGGAACTTGAAAGACTGGAAGAGTGTAGGAACTCAAGTTCATGAAATATGCTCTAAAAAATGTGAAAGAACAGCCAGAATGCTATTAAGTGAAGAAGGAAGAAACATTAGTAGAAATACAGGTAAAAACAACCTACAAGGTCAGACTAATAACCGCTTAGCCAATATCTTGGTGTTTTTGTCTCCAACAGCAGCTGAAGAATGATATTTAGGGGCGCCACATGAGACTGGCTGCATTTTTCTTCCCTTTCTCTCATCCAGTCCATCATTAGATTAGGGATCTTAGATTGTAAATTGTTGTCTATTGTTTTTAGAACTTGTTCATAGAATTTTTTTTGGTACATGAATTTCCCTAACTAGCCTTTTGAGACTGCTACTACTTACTTCTAGAACCTCTTCTGGCAACAAATTCCAGAAGTTCACAGTTGTGAACTGGCATTCACCTCAAACTCATTTCAGTAATCATCAAGGACTATCCTCTAAGTCCTAGTACTGTAGGATCTAGTGAGTCACAGTTGTACATTCACTTTATCCACGGCCTAGAAACTAACTAGATTCAAAATTAAATACAGTACCTTTAAATTTTATATAAAAACTTACAAGCTACTAAACATCCTCAGACACAGATGTTCAAAAGGTAGTCCCAAACCTCCCAACTTGCCTTTTTCTTTTTTCCCTTTAAAAAAATCCAACTCTAAGTTGCACCATCCCAGTGTTGCTGGTTGGCAAGAGCTGAGCAAAGCCTCAGAAAAAGGCCATTCATTGTCAGCTCCAAAAGAGCAGGGCAAAACCTCTGCATTTACTGTGATCCCAAATTCCTTCCTTTTGAGTTAATACTTTAAACCTTTAACTCAAACTGTTGTACAAAGACTGTTGAGTTTTAAATACATTCATTTTTGGAGCTGAACTGAGTAGTCACATAGAAGACATACATAGAATTAAGACAGCAATGGTCAAACACACAATACAGTTCACTTACATTTTCTCTCTCAGCAATGTATCGAAGAGCAAGGCCCAAAACTTCTGCTGCAGCTGCATAAACTTCTTTATATTTTAATGAGCCCATGTTGTTGGTCAAAGCCTGAAAATACCTAACACAAAAGGCAGACCTGCTGTAAGCCACTATTCCAGGACCCAATTTTAAACTGAAACAAAAAACTCACTTGAGCTGCCTAGGGGACCAGCAACTGCTTTTACAAGAGCTGAATATAGCACAACATAGATCTTCCACCAGAAGTGTCTCAAATCCCTACTCTGGCAATTCCTGACTGTTAATTCCCAGGAAACTGTAACCCTGGGGCACACTGTAAAAAATCCTACATCCTTCTAGTTATTTTCCTTAATAAATGTAGTCTGCAGTTTGCAGCTAGAAAAGCATTACATCTGACACACAACAGCAAAGGGATGATGGGACAAAACTCCAATAAACGAGCAACTAGCTCCCATACTTCATGATAAGAGGTTAGATTTGCTCTCTTTGTCTTAAGCTTTTAGCAAAATCATTTGCCAAAAAGCTACAGTCCTCACCTGACACGATCTATCTCACACTTCAGGTCAAAGGGAGGTAAATTGTTAGCAAGAACAATTCCCAGTAGCTGAATTCCCACTGAATTATCTTTTGTATCAGGGTCTCCACTGGAAAACTTCTCAAATATTAAACTGTTGGATAAAAACATAAAAGTGGTTATATACATGAAGAAAAATCAAAATATACACACCATAAATCACACATTCTTTGTGTATGTTCAGATACAGCCCCATCAAAATCAGCAGAAATTATGTATATCTGCACATGCACTCTCATCAAAACCAGTAGAAAACATATTCAGAAAGAATTTAGCTTCAATGAAGTAAAAAACAGAAGCCACCAAACTAAAAAGAGACTGTAAGCCCACACAAATTCTCTCCAACATGTTCTGCTCTCGGCTCTGCTTCTGAAGTCTTGGTGAGAGTGCACCAATATTCACTGATAATATCCAAAATTCCAAATAAAACATGTCTTTGCAGAGATTACTCCTGCTTTTGTTGTTCCTGTTGTAATCCCCTACACGTGTTTTCCTCATCTCTCTCCTTGTTTTGCAAATTAAGTTATAACCTTTGGAGAGTTCAGTTCTGAAGTTCTACTGTCAGCTCTAGGGACAAACAGTTTATTACTACAGCTGCATTTACCTCTATCTCCTAAGATAATGTTCACTTATGTTCTGGAATTACTGACAAAGGAAAGCAACTGTCTAAACACTTACCTGTAAGGTATGGAAAGACAGTTCTTCCAACACTCTATAACTGTCTTTATAATTTCCAGGTTGTGTCTGAACACAGCTCTTTTTTGGTGAAAAGCATTCTTCATCAAGAACTCAAGCAATCTGTTGGCTAAAATCTCATCCTTAATATTCCCCTATGATCAATAGGAGCAAAAATAAACACAGTGATTCCAAGATGAAGATATGTATTGTTTTATGAAAGCAAGCAAATAAGGTATTTTTGAAGTTAATATTTAAAAGAAACAATGGACTGAGGTAGAAAATTATTATAAATCCATAATAACAAACTCACTCATTCCTTACCAAATAGTCACAATAGCAATAAAAAGGCGTTACACATTTCCTTACTTTGGGAGTGGCCACACTTGTCCAGGAAAGGATAGTAACTACTATTTCCACAACCATGTAATGAATTCCTTCACCTCCATTATTCCCAGAAACAACAAGCTGCAGCAATGGTCCAAGCCACTGCTTTGCATAAGGTCGGAAAACCTATTGAACATAAAAACAGTGATCAAGTGCAAATTATCCCACTGTTCAATAACCTGTTGCTCAATAGTTGTTATAGGTAAGACTAAGACTGGTAATCACCCTCCTATCCATTTGGCTTAACCTCTGAAGCAACAATCACAAAAAAATTAAAATAACTTCCACCCTTCCTTTTTGAATTAATTCTGAAATTCATCCTTTTTTGTAGTTCAGATTTGGAATATTTCAGACAGAAACACTAGCTTTAAAATCACTGTACAAAACAGGATGAGAATATTTGACCCAAGAATGAGTTAGAAAATGTTACTTCTCAAAGGCACATTATACTCTCTTAATATCTTTCTGCAACCAGAACATCATTTAGCTCTAAGGGTTTTCACAAGGCTCATCTGTAACCATTAAAAAACCCCATTGTATTTTCTCTTGCAAAGACAAAATACCATATCTCTTGTCCAGCACAAATCAATCACTTATATTCTACAAAGACACATACTGTGGGCACCCTCTACTCACAGAATTATAGTTTGGGAGAAAAGGTATTTACATCACCTTCAAAGTACAGGCACTATCTACAGTTTTGAGCTACAAATGCACTCACTTTTCTCACAGCAAACTACTCAATTTGAATGCCCTAAAAGTCTCAGTTGATTTAATATTTTACCCCACAGGAGTTACACAGTTTATGTTATAGCACCATTTGTTATGTTACCAGAAAAAAATGACAAAAAAATTACTCACATCCTCAGTGTTAACAATAAGTTTTGCTATAAAGAGGCGAATATTGAGTGGCACTGATGGGTTTCCTAATTTGCCATGCAGAAATTTCATCCATAGAGGAAGATCTACTGGAACTGTCCCCTGAAATTCAAAAGAGGCGTGTAAAAATCAGCACACTCCTTGGACCAATCAAAAGCCCCCAGCTCAAGCCATTCAGGTCTCTATAATATAGCCAAGAATATAAATAAGTGAAGGGATTCAATCATGACTCTATTTTCTTGGGATAATTAGTGAAAAAATGCCAACTTTTTAGTAATTACTGGCCTCTTCCACTTTGGGTGTGATCTGGTTCCTCTGCATGTGTTTAATCAGAGTGGTCATAGAGGCCATACATTCATGTTGGTTGAGTTCATCCATTTCCAGCTCCATTTCATCATTTAAAACCATGTATTCTGTGGACTCCTGAAAAAAAAAAAAAAAAGTTACTGTGGTTAATAACAACGTTGCATTTTCTTTTAAATCTTGATAACACCATGAATCATTCTGATCTTATCCGTGTTTACGGATTTGACTATACACTCAGTGTGTGCAACAGGGAATGCAGCACATGTGTTGCTCAAATAGACACCTCCCAAATGTCTGTACCAGCTTTTGTTCCAGTGCTCATCTTTTACTTTCTGTGCCAGCAGATGTCAACCTGATGTTACTCTGACTTTACTACCAGTTATAGGTGTGGTAGCTGCTGGAAGCAGGAAGACTCAGCTGAACCTTGCAGACATTATTTCATTTCATAGCTAAAAGAATATGTTAACACCCTCCACAGGGGGAAAGCACAATTTTTTATGGATGTGTTTATGCTGTGCAACCACAGCAGTTCTTTCTTCTGCTACAGGGAGTAAATTGCAAAAGAATATTTGTTTATAGTTAGAAATTACAACATTACTACAGAAAGTACATTTCTTGTTAGCTTCCATGAAGCTAAAACACCTCCCTGCTTCAAAACACAGCAGGAGTTGATCTCTATCTGTGGTAACAGCCATGACAGATTTCATCTTCTAGTGTCCAGGACACTTTTACAAGCTTGCTTTGTTTTATAGTAAATATCTACCCTATCAGTATTACTGTTGATGAGACATCTCTTGACTGCAGAAGGAACAAAACTTCAAACCTTGGAAGATACTAAATGCTGCTCTTCCAAGACGAATAGTTGAATGCAGGGTGCCACAACAGAGACACAAAAATAATAAAGTGTTTGATCATCTATTCCATGCATTTGACAGAACCAGCTTGGTCAAGTGGTTTCAAAAACCAAAAGAAGAGGGAAATCAGGTGCCTAGCAGCAAAACACAACCATCACAGGATACTCCTGAGAGCACACAAAATCACAAGCCACCTTTTTACAACTCAAGCTGGACTTCAACACACATTACTCAACTCCAAAAACCCAAGGTAGGGCATTGCTTTTCTCCAGTTGTAGGCAGTGGAGAGAGGGAAGAAAAATAATGACCGACAAAGCACAGCTCAAGTCTCCTCTCTCATCTTCTGGATGAACCTACTCTCAGTCAAGTAGAACAAATATAAGAAACTAGAAATGTATCTTTTTCAACTCAATAAAACTATGCAATTGCTAGAAAACATAAAACCTTTCCTCCTCAGAGCACATAAGTCACTAAATTACCTTTCTTCTGAAACGAGCGCTGCTAGCAGTAACATCTTGGGAGCTATAAGAAAAACCTTGGACTCCAGTGGAGAAATCAAACTGACTCATTTCCTCACTCAAGCTGCTATCCATCATGTACGATGCAGAAGCTAAATACTTGGGTTCATCTAAATAGGAAAAAAATATACCATCAATCAAGGTAATTACAAGAACAAGCCTTTATCAGCCACTAAAACTTGAGGGTGGGTGGGAATTCGTTGTTAGATTTTATTTGTTCCTGTTATTAGAGCAGCCAATTAGCAACATAACAACGAACACTATATGAAAGGTAAGAAGGCATTTTTCTTTCCTAGTCATAAATGACTTTCATACCTTGGTCACTATTCCCAGCCTCCCTGGCCTCCTTTCTAATAGCAATGTACCGCTTCTTCCTCTCTAGAGGCACCTAAACAGCATGAAGAAGTTGGAAAATTAATTAATTTTTTTAATTTACTGTTTATTTACAGTTATTTATTTGCAGAACTGCCAAAAAAAAAAAAAATGATCAAAACCATTTAACATGAACAGAAATTCCATGTTGTAAATTATTATAACTAATGCTACAGAACAACAGCTAAATGACATATACCTACAGCCATTCATTGCCAGAGTAAGTGTGCTAAAAAATCTACTTAAATTACGTGCACTGAAGGTGTGTTCTAAATTTCAAGTCTGGATTTCTCTCAGAAAAATGTCTTTTAAACAACAGAGGAGTAGTCTCCATTTTTTATTCACTACAGAAACCTTCTTTTTCCTGAGAACTGACCTAGTCTACAGTGACTACACTGTTAAAAGTCATATTCATTTTTTGCTTAGGAACACAGAAATTCCACTCACCTCAATCTCTACAGGAAATTCATACTGACGCTTCAGGTCTATCAGATTCTCAAAAATCAGCAAGTTCTGCAAATTGAAGCACATTTGGAAATACCAAAATCATAGTGCTGCACACAATAACAGTTGCTCTGAATGTTATCTTATTTCTTCTTAAAAAAACAACAGATCAAAGTACAATATAGAAAATACATTATGCTTTCTCTTCTAGTTCTGTACTTCTAAGAAAGTTTCGCTGTTGAACAACTCAAGAATTCACAGCACAACCAACATACTCTGTAAAGAGGATCTCTCTTATTCAAATATATTCCAAACACTGTAGAGCTTAATAAGATTTTTTTCCTCGTATTTTAGAAACAGAGTGGAGGGAGAACAAGGTAAAAGTATCACTATATCACCCATTCCCAAATAGCCAGTAAAACCTTCATCATCAATTCAAACTGCATGAAGGATGCAAGAAAATCAGCTATGACTCCCTGTTGCCTCACCAGGTAGTTTGTCAATATAATTACATCCCATTCAGGTCTGGCTCTTTGATTTACTGCAAGCAGGTAAAGCTCTGGAAGCTTAACAGCAACAACTTCTCACCTTTTCTGATTTTTCTGTAAAAAGAAAGCCCTGATAAAATTTACTTTCAGTGAAGACACAACTGATAACAGCAATAGCACAATTATATGCTGCACAGTGATACTGTCTCCTCTTCTCCAACAGCTGACTCTCTCCTGCCATGTTTTCTGTAAAGGCATCATAGCAAGACCTTAAAATACAAACAGGCAAGAAAAAAACATCAGAAGTCTTTTTTTAAGAAGCACAAGAGTGGCCTGAATCAGAGACTGGCAAATCAACAGAATTTAAGGAGATCTTTACCATTACAACAGTACCAGCATTAAACCACCTCAGACTTGTGCAAGTTCTCCACAAGAATACTGTGCTAAAATGGAATCATTCAGCAATGACAAAGCCAAGTTCCCCAAGAACTAACACAACAGTACCTAATGTCAAGAGTATGATGATAGATAGACAAGATGAAGATATGTTTCAATACATGCATATGTCCCTCTTACAATCCCTTCCCAAGAAATTATGAATGGACAGCTATGCTATAGATGAGCCAGAGAAAACCATTTTAGATGCAGTTTTTCTAGGTGATCTGCAATTTACAGCCACAAAACTTTTCCGAGTCCTCATCAGACACTGTATTGTAAAATAAAATAAAACCAAACAAAAATGAACAGCAACTCAGGCTTTTTTTAAAGGCTATTAAAGAAGCTAAATAATATTAATTAAATTATAAAAATGCCTCTTACAACACAAAACCATATACTACATAGGATTGTATGTATAGTGGAACTGAAATTGTGAAAACACAAATTAAAGGCCAAGAACCACACAGAAAAGCAAAAATAAAAGCATCAGCTTAACAAACAGAAGGAAAAAAAAAAATGAGGCAAAAGTTATCCTGACATAGGGCTGCTGTCTCTGCTAGAGATCATTCTATCAATGCAAATTCAATATTGTGTATTCCATTTAAAATCAAAAGCTGCATCATAGATCACATTTACCCTTGAACAAATCCATCTGCTTTAGATGGCATACTTAAAAAGTGCATCTGCCCAGAACCTAATTAGAAATTAAAAGGAAATAAAAGAAATAATAGTCTTACTTTATTAGTGTCTTGGTAAGTTCATTTCCTTCTGCACTCACAGAGCCACGGTAAGCTTGGTTAATTTTAGACTCCTTGGAGTAAACATCCTCTTTTGAGAGACGCACGTACATCACCTCCAGCAGCTTGTAATACCCCATCTTCTTGGTGACTTGTGTATCAAAAGCATATTCATTGGACTGGAAGCAAATAAGTAAAAACTCAAAAGAGATTTCCCAGATCCTGCCCTTCCTAAGTAGCCCCATAGTTTCTACTAAACTGCCTTCAGCTCACCTCTCCCATCTAAAACAGAATGAAGAACTGATGATAATAAAAGACTGACAGATTCAGAGTTCCTGTGCAATACAGTTACTATTAAAACCATGTTGACCTGCTCTCCATCAGGTGAGCTGTCTTAACTACCATTGGCCTAAATTATTACAGTGATATTGGAGTAAAATAAGGAGTATTCCAAGTAATGGCTCAGACTCATGACACCTGCAAGGAAAAGATACTACAGCAAGAGCAGAGACCTTCACTGACAACAAAGTCATTGCATGTAACTACAAGTCTAAATTGGAGGACAGGCTGTAAATAGAGAAAGGAAGGTCTGTGCTACTAATAACTTGCTAAGGGATCTTTGCAATGATTAGAAGGTGTATTTCTTCTCTAGAATTGAGGCACATAAGAGCTTTCATTGTGGAGGTTGAATATTTCTCTCCTACAATGTAGTGACAAGTGACAATTTATTACACCTTTTATGTTTCAAAATGTTGGGCTTTTGGCTTTTGACAGAAATTCAGATCCCTTTAGATATATACACAAAACATTCCAACTTCCATTTTTATATTGACATGTGAACATACGTTAACTTCAAAGGAACAGTGTGTTGGGGAATAAAGAAAAGTTTCTCAGTAATAATCCAACTATGTAATTGGCACAAACTTCTGCTCCAAGATACAGAAAACTGGAAAGCAAATGGTTTCAATCAGTGTTTCACTTGAAGTTAAGCAAAATGTACATATTGACACTGATATTTTATTAGACCTTCCCCAATCCTAACAAAAAGTAATTCACACCTTTGTAAACCTGGAATTAAGTGTATCCATAGCCTGTACTATAATCTTGCCAGAGAACTCTCTCAGTGCATCCAAGCTGCAGTGCCACAGGAGGGTGAGGAGGGAGCGATCCATAAACGCTTGACGAGTAGTATTTGAAAGGAGGTCTTCACTCTGGAACATTTTGTGAACAGTTTCCAACAGTATCACTTGTTTGTCATTGGTGCTCCTAAACAAGATGGAAATCTCAGAATGAAAACCATCTATCTAACTCCATTTGTCTCAAACCTCTATGACATCTACAATTTTTATTGTCTGCATTCATATCCTCTTGGATTATCATCCTAAAAGACGTGCAAGATCAAGTTGAACCTCCAAGGAAAATCTCAGCTTCTTATTCTGCAATAGAGATAAACTTGTTTGGATATCTTAGTTAGTTTAATCCAAAAGCAATCAACAGCTTTCTACAGAAGCTTTTTACAGAAGATTTCACAAAATTTGCCCAGGCTTTGGAGTTGTCATCTGGAAGATGGTGCCACTCGTTCACACTCCAGAAATATTTTGAAAATGTGAAGACAAAAGCAAAATCTGCATTAAAGGTGTTATGTAAAACATTATGGTGTGAGTCATCACTACTACAAGGACACCATAATAGAGTAGGTGGATTTGCTTCAGCAAAGATTCAATGAGAACAAGAGCATAAGCCAACAGACTAAACTCACCTTCGGGAAATTCTTTTAAAGCTGGCTTGAAATAAGTCCTCCATGAAGTGTCTGTGGTCCCTACAGAGGACTTCTGTCATCAGCTGCAACAGCATTGGACTCTGAGACAATTCTAAAGCATCTAGAAACTGAAAAAAAGTAATGCATAACTTAAGGAGCTGCAACGGATCAAATCAATTCAACTTAATTATGTAATTAACTTTTCAGCACGGATCAGAAGCAGATACACAGAAGAATGTGTTTATTTCATGCACATCTGTACATGAAATTTATGGATACAGACATAACTCAAAAAAAAAAAAGCTCATATCCTTATCTGAACTTAGAGTGTCTCTAACTCCAGATCCCATGAAACACTGTTTCCAGACATAGTTCACTCAGGCTTCTAATTACTTATTTGTTACAAACACTGACCTTCTTAGTGCAGTCTACATAGTTATTGTGCTTCAAGGTTCCTTTGGGAAACTCATCAGACCTCATGGGAAAATTGAAAGCTACAAGTTGATCCAGAGCATTCTTAAGGTCACTAAGTTTTTCTCCAGTCAAATTAGTAAAGAATGGGAGAATTATCACTGCTTGGCCCTGAAGAAGAAAAACAATTTAAAAAAATACAGTTTCACATTAAAAAAGATTATTCTCTAACTATGAAACAAGCTAAATAGGACCACAAAACAGCAGCAGTGGCTGTGCTTACAGATTCAATGGCTCAGTGTACTGATAAAGACACATTATGTGGCTGCTCATCTTTCAGGTGTTAATTCAGAAAACAGCCTGGGTCACTGCTCAGTGAGTCAAAAGCTAATTCATATCTCATGGCTGACCTATGATTAAGTCCTCACTGTTGTTTGAAGCAAGCATCCATTCTCATACAAGTCACTGATACAATGTACAACCTGACAGCTAAATGCAAGATCCCAAACTACTTCTTTGGAACATGCAGGGAAGTACCAAAGTCTGCCTAGCTAAAGGTAGGTTGGCAGAACAGCAACTGTGCAAAGCTGTTTCATAAGTACAAAAATTTTTCATCTTCTAGTTCAAACTTTATGCTCAGCATCATTTATAACTTCCACTTTCAGTGTGCAGTGCTTTATCTCCCTCTCCTGACCAAGCCACAGATAGCACCTAATCCACAGTCTCACAACCCAGACATGGACATTGAAATCATGGCAGATGTTTGTAATTTGACCTGTAGAAAAGGCCACTCCTTGAACAGGAGCATAAAAACCAGAAATGGTGCCTATGCTACTGTACAAATTAAGGTAAACCTTAAGCCCAGCAACAGGGAATTTAATGAGTCACTAACATTCTAATCTGGGAAGGGTGAGGAAGCCACTGAAATGAGCAATTTACCTTAAGATTTAAGCCTAAATTCTGATCAATAAGTAGACTGGTATAGGTATTAAAAACAGCTGTAAATGCTTCATGATGGGTATCAAAAGAAACTGAAGAGTCTATCTGGAATGAAAAAAGAAATAAAACAAAATTAGGACTTTTTTTTTTAAACTAGTCGAAGTGGTCATTGTATTAATGAACAATAAAAACCCCATGAGCAACAGAATTATTTCCAAAAAAACAGTGAATTAATAAAAAGCACATACAGAGTGATTTTATTTTAAAAAGGACTATGAAAAAAAAATTCTAAAACCTACAGAGTACAAAAAAACCTACACATAATGTTGGATATTTTCCAGTCCAAAAAAATATTAAGCTCCCTCTCAGAGTCAGACTTCCTACTGGTGAATTCACTGCCAGCTAAGAGAGCAATACAGCTCATATTCTGTGTCCTAACACTTACCTTTGAAACAACTCAAGTTTAAAATAACTAATTACAAAAAAGAAAAAAAGTCTCAGGAAGTGACCTTTCTGCATTTTTGCACGCAGCTACTTTTATAAATTCCTAAAAAATTTGAAAAGAATAAGCAGACATATTCTGTTCTCAGAACGGAGAAAGGAAAAAAGTTTCAGAGTTCACTCTCTGAACTTTTACCAATACTCCAGAAGGAAAAAAGGCAGCTTAAAAAAAAAGAAAGGGAGGTGGAGGGAGGTGTGGAGAAGTGCAAAAATCTGGTCATTTCTGCCTGTCCACATATTTTTGGTACTCTGCAAATTAAAAAAAAATATTCTGATATTCTCCAACACTGTTTCTTTTTTTTTTTTTGTATTAAACAGAAAACACAAGAATGAAATAGCATTCATTTAAAACAAGACAATTCCTACAAAATTAGAGGAGTTGTCTGGGTTTCTAAAGCAACATGTACCTGCAGAACTTTTGCCAGCAGGGTCAAGACTGCCACTTTGCTCTCAGGATCTGAACCTTTGGCCCACCAGCTGTCAAGTTTCTCCCAGTTCCTTAGGACAGCTGTGACCAGTTTCACTCCTTGCTGCTTGCGTACAGAACGCTCCCTAAAACTCTGATCTAACATGCCGTTCAGAATGCTGCCAACCTGGAAGGAAAAGCCACAGGGAGGTTCTTGTAATACCTTCACTGGTATGGGCAATCATAAAAAGCATCACATAGCAATGGTAGAGTTAAATCTCAGAAGGATACAGAAGTCTCTCTGCAGGAAATTAAAAGCACACTTTTCAAAAAAGACACTTAGACCCAATTTACTCCTGTTTCATTTAGAGTACAATGCAGCAATTCCCTCCCATACCTTTTGTATGAATATGGAGAAATAATCTATAATTGATAACCCAGAATAACTCTAAAGGCCAGTACTTGAAAATTTTAGTTAATATGAAGTTGCAAAACAGGAGAAATAGCACCTACACTAAGTTATTTGCATACATTTGAAAACAAAACTAAGCCATGGCATACCAGATATGAACTAAATATGCTTTTTTTTTCCCTCAAAAGCTAATGGTCACTGAGCTTCAAATCTAAATTCTGCATCCTCCTCTCAAATACACAGCAATCACCTAATAAACTGGATTAATGGTATCAGCCTTGTGATTTCACCAGAATGCATGGGTACAGTAAAATGGAACATTTTTTCTTCCTCTACATGACAAATGCATAAACCTAAAGAAAACGTAACTTATAAAATTTTTTAAAAAATATATTATGGATTACAAGTCAGGCAAAGAACAACAGAGAAAATAGAAAAGTGTTCATTTGAACCCATTTGTCTGTTTACCCTAATTAAATTAACAAAGTGAAGACTTGTAATACTATTACCACATGTAGCCAGTGTAAACTAGTAGCCTGCCATTTTTCAGAGCCACTTTAAAAAAAGTAGGTCTAGTGTGGCATGCTCTGCACAGGAAACACTACAAAGCCATCACAAGAACCAGCCTTTTAACACATCTATATATATATACACACATATAGAAATATCTCATCTCTCTATATATCTCTATATACATATATCTATCAAGATATATATCTACAGTCAAGTTAAACAATTTTTGGTATCACAAAAAAAAAAAGCTCAGTGTTTGAAAAATGTTACTTGGAAATAACATCTTAAGTATAACATCTTGAATTTTAAAAGATCAAATGACTTCTTTTAAAAGGGTGAGGTACTTTGCTGAGTGTTCTTTTAGAGCAAAAGGGAAAGTGGACTTTGATTTTTCTTTTTGACCCTTCTGTTCACCAGAAGCCCTGAAAGAAGACTTCTCAATCACTGCATGCTTCCTTTGTGGACCTGAAGATGAGCTCTACGTTAAGCAGTGTGGACCAACAGAGAAAAATCTGTTGAGCAAAACAAGTATCACAACTACCCTGTATTTATTTCAGGTCACAGGGGGTTGTGTGTCTGTGTATGTCTCCCTTTTAATACTTTGATCTAGCTCTACTCTAAGTCCTGTGGACTAAATGCCCATTAGTGGTTTGAGCTAATTTTCCAGTTTAGTTTTATCCAAATCACAGTCCACATGCTCTGGGACCAGTCTGCAATGAAAATCAAAGCACAGTATATGGGAACAAACAGACTTGCTTTGAAAGGATATTCTTGTTCTGAAGTACTAAGCAAAAATCTGAAATTCTTAGATTTCAGGCTAGGCAATAGGTAAGCACTTGTCACTCAGTTTGACCTGAGATGACAGACAATGTTATGTGAGAGTGACAGAGATTATGAAGGTAGTAGACCATGGCAAAAAAATAAAACATGTAACAATGCAACACTGCCTGAAGTGCAACCAAATGCATTCCTTTCTCACTCTACACTCAGTTACATCCATCTGTAACAACAACAACAAAGTGTTACTTCTAAACATTCCAATTTGACTTTGTCCTTTTAAATAACAAGTCCAATACCATTTTGGGATTGCTGACAGATGATTCCATAAGCTGGGCTATAATCACATCCACGTTTTTCAGCAGCTGTTGATTGATGGTCTCTGAGAACAAGCTGTAGAAATACTGTCCATGAGAGAAATTGATGAGGTTCTTCTGGGATGCTCCTGATAGTGGCACAGACAACACCACTGTGTTCAACAGCAGACTTACTAGCTCCTCACACTGTGAAAATAGATGTGTAGAGGCAGCGTTATGTCAAGCACAATAAAATTCATTCATTTCTTAGAATAGCATAAAAGTTTTTTCCAAGTCCCATCCTGGACTGTTTTATGTTACCAGAAAGCACAAAAATAAAGCAGAATATTGAACTGCTTGTTATCTACAATTGCCACTCAACTATGCCAGAGCGCCCTTACAGCTCCTCTGCAGGAGTCTAAATAAAACACCAGCCTCTCCTACCCAAAATATGGGTAGAAGACTACTGATGATATTTATTAAATGATGATTATTAGAAGTGGAGACCTGTATCCTACCTGGTCATCAATAGCAAAGGCCAGCTGCAGGAGTCGGTCAGCTAAACGCTTACTGCTGACGTCCAGGGAAGGAAGAGAGACCCTCTCACCCCCAGGAGCAATGCCTTTGTAAACAACTGAAAGAAGCTTACAGCCAACTGAGCAATGAGGCCCTTCATCCTAGGGAAATAAATAAACAAGTGGCAATTAATATAAGCTGCACAGAATAACATGAAGGCCTTCCAACCCATCTGTATAGCAGCAAAACCACTTGAACTCCACGTCATTCTCTTATAAAGCAATGCACACATACCATGACAAGACACCTTTCTAACCAAGGAACAGGATTTTTGAACAAGATAACCCTGTTGTGTACAAAGTTCACAAAGAACTAACAGTGATTTGAAAATCTTCAGAAAATTCTGATTTTTCCCCCAGATTTTTTTCATTTATCACTATTATTACAGAAATAAAATGAACAGCTTAGTCAGAACAGGTGGGCCACAAAAGGTAAACCAGGCAGCTCCTTGAATATCACCACCCCACCATCACAGCTCTAGCTTTGTTTAGACAGAGTATAGATGGCAAACACCCCACAGAAATTAAATATTCTGTACACTTGTTAAATATAGCCTTGCTCTCCACTAGACAAATGCTCTCAGTCCTCATAACTGTTGCACAGCCCGTTTTCCTTCAATTACCCAAAATAAAATAAAGATTTCCTACAATCAGAAACCTAGTAGAAAAAATTTTAGTATTGCCTAGATCCCTACTCCCTCAAGCAGTCTCTATCCTGTTTCCCTGCAACTCAGACCCACTCTGTTGCTTCTCATCAGCCAGAAGATGTTCCTTGTCTGATTTCCTTCATCACTTTGAATGTTCTCTGTTTAAAAATTGTTGGCAAATGCTTCCTTCATAGGATAGTAAATTCTGATTTTTTGAGCTTTCAGTGTTTTGAAGCTCACTAAAAGGAAGTTTTAGTAAATATATCTCCAGGTCCTGGAAACTGGAGGAAGACAGACATAATTATGAAGATTGTTCAAACCTCAATATTGTGCTACTCAGATTTATAGAATAAAAATAAACATTTATTTCTGATCCCATTCAACACCAGCTCTTCACTGTTGATCTCATTTTACACAGCTTCCTCTGATCTGTTCTCTGTTTTCATACTGGCCTTTTACACAGGAAAAGCCCTTTACCATATCAAAATAATAGACCACCATTTTCTGGATAAAGAGTTACCTGATTGTGAAGAACAGACTGAAGCAGGCCAGACTTCTGGAGTTGCTTGCAGGCAGCAAGGACAGCACTGAGCTTAACTTGGTCAAATCGTGCATCTGAATTAAACAGATCAAGAGAACAAAGGTCCTCGAGGCTAAACAGAAAAGACAAGTCACAACATTACCTTGGGGGGGAGCTCCATGTGCAACCATACACCACATTATTTACATCCAGTTTTTTGTGGTGAGTGGCATTTGTTCTGGATTATTCTTACCAGAAAGCTCCTACTTACCTCTGCCATGTAATTCTTTTCTTCATGCACAGTTCCAAAGATTCCTTATAGGGAGATTTGATCAAAGCTTTCATGAGTCTTACTGAGATATCTGGGAGATTCTTCATGACTTGCACATCAGCTGTGTTAAACCCTACATGTGATGGATCACACACTGTCACCACCAGAAGCTCTATAAGGCTTCCATTAAGCAGTTCCTTTTCGAGAAACTAGAAAGAATAAAACATTAAATAAAAGCTTTATTTAATATTCATTTAGATTGTCCTATTTTAATCTTTGTCACTTACCATTAGTCCTCCTATCTTAAATGAAACCAAACATGGCACAGTAACTATTCTCACTGACATTCTCTCTGAAATATCTGACTGAATCAATTGTGCTAATACACAGAAATTAAGTAAATTACAAAAATAAAGACAGGATATATGCTATCTCAAACTGCACCTAAGATCTTTTAAGTCCACACAGGCCTGTTTCAGTCTTGAATACACCTGTAATCACCTTGAAATCTAGATGTACACCTCTGTGCACACTGTGAGAGATCTACTGAAAACAAGAGACAGTCACAGACTCAGAACTAAACTTGGCAATGTAAACTTCAGAAGAGACTCTTAGGTACTATGTATAGTTAAAAACAGTTTATATTGCATCAAAGCTGTTATTGAATGTTTGTACTGAAGTCAAGAAAGAATTGCCACAATCTGCCTTCCAAGCAGCTATCACCTCCATACATTTAAGGCCAGCAGGAGTCATACAGGAAATATTCATTATTCTTCTGTATGGAGTACTTGCAGTCTCATAGTCACAGAACATTATCGGTTGGATAGGACCTCTAAAGATCATCTAGTCCAATCCCCCTGCTAGAGCAGGATCACCTAGCTCAGGTCACACAGGAACTCCCCCAGGTGGGTTTTGAATGCCTCCAGAGAAGGAGGCTCCACAAATTCTCTGGGCAGCCTGTTCCAGTGCTCTGTCACCCTTACCCTGAAAAAGTTTTTCCTTATGTTTACCCAAAACCTCCAATGATCCAGCGTTTTTCCTTATGTTTACCCAAAACCTGCAATGATCCAGCTTGCACCCAATGCCCCTTGTCCTATCACTGGATGTCACTGAGAAGAGCCTGGCTCCATCCTCCCAACACTTGCCCTTCACATATTTAGAGACATTAATGAGGTCACCCCTCAGTCTCCTTTCCTCCAGGCTAGAGACCCAGCTCTCTCAGCCTTTCTCATAAGGGAGATGCTCCACTCCCTCCATCACCCTACTGGCCCTGCGCTGGACTCTCTCTAGTACCTCCCTGTCTTTCTTGAACTAGGGTGCCCAGAACTGGATACAGTACTCCAGGTGGGGCCTCACCAGCACAGAGTAGAGGGGAGAAGAACCTCCCTCAACCTGCTGGCCACGCTCTTCTTAATGCCTTCCAGGATGCCACTGGCCTGCTTGGCCACAAGGGCACATTGTTGGCTCATGGTCATCCTCTTGTCCACCATGACCCCTAGATCTTTTTCCCCAGAGCTGCTCTCCAACAGATCAGCCCCCAACCTGTACTGATCCATGGGGTTGTTCTTCCCCAGATGCAGGACTTCACACTTGCCCTTGTTGAACTATATTACATTTCTCCCTGCCCAGCTTTCCAGCCTGTCCAGGTCATGCTGGATGGCAGCACAGCCTTCTGGCATGTCAGCCACTCCTCCCAGTTTTGTATCATCACCAAACTTGCTGAGGGTGCACACTCTGTCCCTTCATCTAGGTCTTTGATGAATATATTGAACAGCACTGGACCCAGAACCAATCCTTGGAGGACACCACTAGCCACAGGCCTCCAACTAAACTCTGTTCCACTCTGTCCTTCAGCCAGTTTCCAATCCATCTCACCACACAACCATCCAAGCCGTACTTCTCCAGCTTGGCTGCCAGGATTCCATGGGAGACAGGACCAAAAGCTTTGCTGAAGTCGATACATACCACATCCACTGCCCTCCCCCCATCTAGCCATCTAGCTGTGCCATCATCAAAGGCTATCAGATTAGTCATGCATGACTTCCCTTTGTTGAATCCATGTTGACTACTCATGACAAGCCTCCTTTCCTCAACATGCTTTGAGAACAAGCTCTTCCATCACCTTTCCAGGAATGCAGGTGAGGCTGACTGGCCTATAGTTACTTGTGTCCTCCTTTTAGAAGATTGGGATGACACTGGCCTTCTTCCAGTCCTCAGGCACCTCTCCTGTTCTCCAGAACCTCTAAGATTATGGAGAGTGGCCTAGCAATGAGCTCTGCCATCCAAGATTATGGAGAGTGGCCTAGCAGTGAGCTCTGTCATCTCCCTCAGCACTCGTGGGTGGATCCCAACAGGGCCCATAGAGCTGTGGATGTTCAGTTTGCTTACCTGCTCTCTAACCCAATCCTACTGACCTGACACAAAATCTTCCCTCCTCCTGACTTCCTCTGTGGTTTATAGGTCTGGAACCTCTGGGAGCTGGCCTTAGCAGTAAAGACCAAGGCAAAGGTGGCATTCAGTAACTCTGCCCTCTCCCTGTCCTCAGTCACCAGGGCACCCACCTCATTCAGCAGCAGGCCCACATTCCTCTAGACTTCCTTTTACCTCCAACACACTTGAAAAAGCATTTCTTATTGTCCTTGACCTCCCTCGCCAGGTTTAGTTCTAAGGAACTGAAGAAAATTCAACTGTGCAATAGAATTCTTTTCACTTACATGCAAAAACAATAACAGTTTATGATCTTTAGTCACCCATTTCAATTAAAGCACCACTAAAGATGATGTTCTCCAGTGAAGAAAGCTCGCAATGAAAAGGCAAATCTTTACCTACAAGTAAAATTTGTACCTGTTATCCCCTACAGATTTCAGTGCCTACCTTCCAGAAATCCTGCTGGCACATCTCCAGGATCATGGTGACAAACTCCATGATTCGGACGATGATGGTGCACTTGCTGTAATTGTACATGTCTCTCTCCTGGGGACTGAAGGTGCTGCCTTTCCAGCTGCAGCCAAAGCACTGCTCTGCTGCCTGGATGTCATGCAAAGCAATGGTTTTGAGGAAGAACTGCACAGACTCCAAGAATGAGGATCTTTCAGTTACACCTAAGAAGAATCACACTAAGTTGAAAAGATACAGCAGCTCTCAAATATAAATATGTTATTTAATGTATTTACAGTCAAGCTGAGGTAACCAACAGAAGCCACCACACCTCAGACCAGGTGTTTCTGAAAGTCCTACACCAGTTCCAAGTATTAAAATCCTGGGCAGTGAAGGGTAGCTTTCTACTTGCTGATCATTACAAACATGTATTAATGATAATGGTTTAGGTATATATAATAAAATGGATAATAAATTTAAAATAGTTTTGAATAGTTTAGACCTACACTAACTGCATCCAACAATGATCTTACAGTATTGTCTTAAGCCAAGACAGAGATGACACTGGCAGACAGACTTCCTGGCATTGTAAAAGACTTCATAGATGAAGTAAATATGCAACTGGACAGTGATAAAAAAAACACTTTCAGGTCTGCATGGATAATTAAAAAAAACTTTTTGAGAGATCCCATGGCTACATAAAGGTTCACTTTGCACGTGATCAAAAATCAAATACAAGGCTTTCAGACCTGATGCACTGGAAGCATCAGGAACTGAAAAGAGGTAACTTGCACAGCACCTGAAGTGAAAAGGGGTAGATTAATTTGTTTCTGACATGTCCCTCCAGACATTAATAAAAAGCAGACAAAGTTTTGGAATTTTTTTTTTTAAATAATAAAAAAAAATACCTATGGCTCTCCTCAGCAGAGAGAAATTAGCTGTACAGAATAATTTTTTAAGAGGATATAAAAGAAGTTCATGGTGAGTTCATGTTTGAAAGACAGATGTGTAAAGGTGTATTTCTAGGACTAAAAGGAAACATTTGAAGATACACTATTAACAAAGTACTTCTCCATCAAAAACCATCCCAGTACAACAACTACCATTGAGAGCTTTGGGAAAGTTTGTAAAATTCATCAATTCTATGTTGAAAACAAAAGGTTGAAGTCCAAATTAGGGACTCATCTTGGATGGGCTTTGTGCAGTAGATGTGAATGAACCTGATGCAACAGTTAATTACTCACCCAGTATCTCATGAGGTTTGATCATCCGCAGCTCAAAGAATGTATTGTAGCAGTCCAGTGCTGCTAAGAACATATCCATCCATCTCATGACAGTCTGTAAGCTGAAGGTCTCCTGCACACCATAGAGAGTTGGCTGAGAAAGGATCCCAGATGGACTTTTGGCATCACTGCCACCTCCTTCAAATTTCTTAATGAGAAAATAAATATCTTGGTTTTTTAGAACATCAGCCAACCAAGAAGATGGAGACTTGTTTCCTAATAGAAATAAAACCAGAAGTATAAATTCTATAGGAGAAACACATTTCAAACTAGCAAGGAATTAGAGGCAAATGGACTGACACACCCAAGCTTTGTGTTTTAAACTGGACCTTCCAGCAGAGGAGCAATCTGTTCTGGTTTAGTCTTGGTCATACTACTTAAATTACCACAAGGAAGGGACTAATTTGTGAGACACTCCCACAGGGGTCCCCATCAGCAAATACTGCCTTCACAGCTAAATACAACAGCAGTTCTGGGCCTGTAAGTTCTCCTTCCTGGCTGGAAGGAAGTTGGCAATAAAACCCTCTTCCGTGCCCACAAACCCCAAAGTTCTCACACTATTTGATTTCCAATATGAGCAACTACTCAGTTGCTATTTAACAGTACTGAGTGAACAGACATTGATAGGACAAGAGGAAATGGCCTCAACTTGCAGCACGGGAGGTTTAGGTTGGACATTAGGAAAAACTAGTTCCCCAAAAAGGTTGTCAAGCCCTGCAACAGGCTGCCCAGGGAAGTAGTTGAGTCACCATCCTTGGAGGTATTTAGAAGATGTGTAGGTGTGCTTAGGGACACTGTTTAGTGGAGGACTTGGCAGTGCTGGCTTAACAGCTGGATTCCATGATCTTACAGCTCTAAAGGTCTTTTCCAACCTAAACGATTCTATGATTCTGTGACATTGACTTGCAAAATAATTTTTCCAGTGATTCATACTTTGCAAAGAGAAACAGAGAGTGAAGACATATGCAGTATTTCAAATGCAAAGATAATAGTCCACTGTGACTTAAAATACCTGGTAACAAAGGAACAAACTCATAGAAGAGCTCCATGGCTTTATGTCGGCACTCCGTCTGAGGGCGTCCACACTGCACCAAGAGCCACATGACAATGTCCAGAAGACACACTGATTTAGATGGAAATCCTCTGCACAAAAACATCAGATTAACAGTTAAAAAAAAATAAATCAAAATGTTTCATAAGCGTTATGAATGTCCTTTAAGCTATCTAACCACAACCCATCTGCACTACAAGGAAAAGCTATTCTACAAGCACATCTTGCACTGCTTTCCCCTCTCCTCACTCTGCTTTGGATCCCTTGAGATCAGTCCTTGTGGCAACAATTTAAAAAGCACAATCAGGGCTCTTGTCTCCTCTTTGTAACACTCAAAGAGACAAAAGTGGAAATTAAAGCTCAATTAAGCCTGCACAATTCTTCCCCATCTGTCATTATCCAGTCACCTAACTTACCCAATGCTACACCAGTGAGATAACTCTTAGACTCCACCTGCCTGTTTCTTTAGGATCACAAGATAATTCAGGTAAAAAGGGACCTCAGGAAGTCTCTAGTCCAACCTCCTTCTCAAAACAGGGTCAACCATGCCACCAGACCAGGTGACTCAGAGCTTAATCCAGCCCAGTACTGAATCCATTCTTGCTTCTCTCCACCTTTTTTTGCTACCTCACTTCTGCTGATGCTTAACAGCAGTGAGAAAGATTTCAGAGGAGTTTCCTCCAAGTGTTTTGTAGCACTAATGCTAACATTATTACAAATCCTGCTGTGAGGGAAATATGCTTTTCTTTTATACCTGTCCTTGCCAAATCAAAGCAAGCTCACCATGCTGGAGTAAAGAATGACCATCATGATCCTCTAGGATCACATCCAGCATTTCCCACCAGTGGTTCAACAGACACCAGGACATCTGCATCAGCCACAGTCACAGTATGAATTCCTCACTCAGAATTTCAAGTGTTTAATGGAATTGCATATGTCATTAATGAAAATGGAGTATAAAAAAAGGGGGGAAAAAAAGCAGCTTGCTGACCGTGGCACTCGTCGCCTTCCCTCCTTGTTCAGAGAAGATGCTTTGTGTTTGATTATGCGCTTCAGGTGATTAATAGCATCACAACATTGCTGAGTAGTTCCTGTTAGAAGGAGAGAATTGACATCCACAAGTAAATGCTAATAACTTAGTGAAATGAAGCATAAACACTATAGAAATGGTGCAAGAGACTTGCACAAAGGATAATGTCTACCAGCTGCACTACTCAGTGATTCTACAGTGAATTTTTCAAGGTCACAAAACAAAACCATAAAATAGACAACATGGCCTTAGCCAACCATGAGCCCTCTACTCTTAAAGTATATTTTAATTTCTATGATCATGTTTAGAGAAAGCATAACATTTTCTCATGAGTATTTCTTTTAAGGCCATTTCTATCATATCCTGAACCGTTTCTCTGAAAGAAATAAAGCTTTGTAACATCAGGTTTTGGTTTTATGGCCTAATTACTTTGATGAAATTGAGAGGGTGAAAAAAAATACACACAGAGACACAAGTTTACTGAAGAATCGTTACTACTGTGGAAGAGGTCATAGATTCTTCACACAGCTACATACTGTTGCAGAGAAGAATGACAAAGCAAGCAGGAAAGCATATTACAAAATGGTGGAAATCTTCCACAGAATATATAGAAATGTCAATTTTTGGAGCATTCTGTTATAAAACAATAAACTTCAAGATTCTCATCAAGTTGCATTTTTACACTGCCTAACTGCAAACCCAAGACTCAAATCAGAAGCAGCACTAGCATTTTTAGTGTTACTACAAAACTGTAAATCATGATAAATGTGTAAAGCTTCTTTCTTCTGGGGTCAAAATCTTTCACTTTTTATGTTGCAAGGAATTGATTCAAAGAGTTCCTAACTAGGTATCAGATGACCTCTCTACAAGCAATGAAAAATAATCCTTCCTTTGTTGCAAAAGTAAGCACATTTACTTTTCCATTTACTTTTATTTTTTATATTAGTTTCTCTTTTTTAATTAAGAATTCAACAGATTGGCTTTTTTCTTAATTTCATAGTCAGTTATAGCTCACCTAATGATTTCTCATCTGTATGGGCTAAAGCCAGACTTTCCAGAAATACAACCAATGCTTCAAATACAAACTGCTCCACCAGAGAATTTTCTTCCCTTTAAAAATCAGGAATAAATTTATTGATAAACATGATTAGAAGAAGTATTAAGTGTGCAATTCTAATTAAAAAAATAGCAATGAAAATTTGCTGATCCCCTTCAAAAGGCATAAATCATTTCCTTAATAAGCTTGTGACAGAAATTTAAGTTTACACACTTGCAGAAAGCCCAAACTACAAAATTATCATTAAAAACAAGTAAGCTGAGTAACTCAGTTTTACAGCTACCATATACATTAATAGAATGAGTGTCAGTGGATGGCTATTTGAGTGCTATACTTAATACTTTTTATTTCCTCTAGTCCAAGCTCTGCTTGCTCACCTGAATTCCCTGTAGATGCTGTTAAAAGCAAGTGCTGCACCCAGTCTCTTGAAAGGACTGGGATGAAGAGCGAGACTGTACAACCGTTTAAAAAGAGACTTGGTGTTTGCTGGGCTCTTCTCCTGCTGCCTTGGTGTTGTCTGTTTAATAGACCACTTCAAAAACTCTCGTACACACTGAGCACAGAAATCTCTCAAAGTGCTGTCAACTGGGTCCACTATGCCATTCTGAAATTACAGAAGATTATTTTATTGTAAGAATAAAAAAAAACCTCCATTGTTTCAGCACAGTATTATAGCAGCTTATTTACAGGGTATTATTTCTAAGTTAAAAAGCTGTAGTCACAGTTTCCCAGAAATAACAAAGCTTAAAAATTACTCTCCAAGGGAAGGGCAGCATTCCCAGCCCTCATAGCACTGGATTAGGTCTCTAGGATCTGGATTTCTACTCCTGTCTCAGCCACCAGTTTAGGTGCTTTGTCTAAGTCACTTCATTTTCTGATGAGCAAATTTCCTCTGCTTTAGATGGGAGTGTCACAACACTGACTTGCATTCACAAAACCTCCTGACCTACCTTGCCTCTAACCCCTTCAGCTCAGAGCAAAAGGGAGTTTTAAATTTAAAGCTATTGCACCTGGTGAAAGCAAATTAAGTTGGAGAAAAATTAAGCAAACATGAAAAGCAGACTGCATACAAGGAACTACTGAAATATATTCACCACACCCAAATGAACTGATGATAAAAAAGAGCATTTCATTACTCCTATAGATTCTAAAGATGCTATATCTACCTTTTGAGAATGCTGAAGAAATACAGACGCCATTAATCACAATCTTGGTTAAGAAACATTAAATGGTTATTAAAAAATAAATTGACAAATTGTTTTTCTTCTTTCAGACAAAGAAAGTGCCATTATAGTTGTTTGTTCCTGGTTCTTTCAGTAATGAAATGATGCTAGTTAAAAATAAAGTCACATGGCACAGAAGAAAGAGAAGAAAGATTTACAGCCTACCAAGATAGCTTCTTTTTTTGCCACTGTATCTTGACTCTCAAATTTTTTGTTGTTGGTAAACCAGTGAATGAGTTGCATGACTAAAGTCTCATACAACTGTCTTGTTACCTGAAAAGAATAAAAGTCAACTACATTTCTAGAATTAATATAATTCTATGCCATGTAAGAATGAAAAACAGTACTACTTTGGAAAAGAGTCTATAAAATTACTAAACAGCTTCATATTACATTATCATAGCAAGGATTTAAAACCAAAAATTACACCTGGTTAGCTGCTTTCTCTTCAACTACTCTCAAAAGATCCTCAAGCTTATTTTTAGCAAGATTCTCTGAGACAAAGAACATTGCATGCCACAGAATAATAGGCCAATATACAGGCAAGGAAACAGGAAAGTTTGGTTTTAAGGTCTATTTTCATCTAAAAATCTCTCAATCTTTACCATATACATTACCCTAACTTCCTGGATTGCAACAGTTCTTGGAAGTCGACTTGATTTAACACTGTCATACTATAGCATGAAGGGAAGAACTATTAAATACATTTATATATACATACATGCTTATGATACAGTGTGCATGCCTGTGTGCATTGGTTTGGACCAATCCAGACTATTTACCTATGGTTTGTGTTCAGCCATATGCCAGAAAAAAGGGTTTCACCTAAATTGGTAACAGCTTCCTGTATATTTAACAGGACACAAAGTCACTTTGATCTAAAGCCAGAAAGCAGCAGTTTGAAAAGGCAAAAGACCTGTAATTTCAGTGGAGCTGAACCTAGGTGTCTATCCTTTTTGTGTAAAGCAAATTATACCAAGTTCAGCTATCTGAATTAAATATATCATTCTTAGTTATCAATAAGGCACCTAAAATATGGCTCCCAAATGCTTCTTTGTGGATTGTAGCTTTGTTCTCATTCAATGCTGAAATAAGCAACTTCACCTCAAATTAACTTACCATAGAAGACGAAAAATAAAGAAATTCAACACAGCAATAAAGAGCAGCTACCACCACAATCTCTTTGAATGAACCTTGAAACATGAATCTTGAAACCCTCATGTACCTGTACACTCCTCTGAATTACACTCCATTATTTCCCCAACACCAAAATCTGAAAAATCTCTACCTGAAATAGAAATTCAGCTTACAAAATACATTACTTTGTGGGGAAGGGCAATGCATCAGGATGATTTTTAATAGGATAACTTATAAATCATATTATAAATTAATCTCCACACTTAGAGGTATTTTACAGACACTAAAATGCACATAAATGGATCTGATTACCTGGTCCACATCACAGGCAAGACGAAGCAGTACTGGAAACATTCGCTTGTGTAACTGATACATGGGTGGGGGGCCCTGTCGTCCTTCTGGCATCTGAGATGCTTTCCCCAGCATGTATGTGACTATGCTGTGGAGCAGCTCACAGGCTGCAACCTGAAATTTAAAAAAATGTCTTTGTTACACATCCATTACTTTCACTAAGATGACAAAACTGTGGACAGGAGAGAATGAGTCACAGGAGAGGGTGTACTTGAGAAACTGCCCAAACGATGCTAAATTACCACTCCAGGAACAGATCAGGTCCATGGAAATAATTTACACACATTCTAACTGGCCTTTCTCCTCATGTTTTGGTCTCCATCATGAGCAGTCACTTCTCAGCTAGAGAAAACTCATCACTGGATAAGTCACCCATCATCGTGTTTTCAAGGATACCTCTGTCCTGGACTCTCTTTGGATATCAACATCCCAATACAGCAGAGCAGCAAAATACTTGCTAAAGTGCTCTGCTGGAAAGGGCCCATAAGTTCATGGGCTAGGCATGAGAAGAAGGCTAAACAACAGTGAAGATCAGCCAGTTTAAATTTTCTTTTTAATGTTAATTCTAACTCTCAAAGCACAATCCTGTCTGACAGCTTATAACAACTTCTGCTCTCTACTTTTAAACACTCAGAACAGTGTCATCACAAAAGAGCACCAAAGCAGCACATGGCTACCTATGAAATAATTAAAACAAGACTTTTTAAGGAAAACGTTTTATGCAGTATTTATCAGCTAGCACAAAAAAATGCAGAAAAAAGAAATCAATACTTTGGTTTGTCTGTCACTTGCAGAAAGAGCCAGTTCAGTCACACGAGGTAAGAACAAATCCAAGTAGATGACAGGCTTCATATCTGCAAATGGCACAGCAAAGCTCAGACGCTTCTCAGTGTCCCAGGACACACATTTCTTCATCATCTCTTCTGCAGAGGTAGCTAATTCGTTTGAAAGACAAAACCAAAAAATAAGCTTTAGATAATATACACAGAGCAAGCATTTCCATAGCTCAGTCCAAAAAATCTGGGACCTGCAACTCCAGTCAGACTGCCATACGGTGTTAATGCTTCACAGGTTTACTGGATGTTATAAATGCCAGTTTTATTTAAACATCCAAACAGAAATTTAGCCACCACATGGTAAAAAAGTGAAGTCAACATTTCAGGGAACAAGTCACAGCAGCCTCCAGTTTCAATTCAGGTACGTTTGGAGACAATCATAAACCCAGAAGACACCAAATTACACTTAATTCAAAATACATCTTAAAGATATTCAAATATTACTTGTCTTCTACTGTTAAAAAAAATCCTGAGGATCAGATAAGAAGGTCCTACATACATACAGACTCCTGCATTGGCACAGGAAATGACTACATTTATAGCTATGTCCTCCAAGGAAAAATAGCATACTTACTCCCTTCTCCTCCTATACTCCCATATTTCTTATATTTGATTAATGATGTCTGACCACACTTTGTACTTAACTTCTAGGAACTGATGCCACCTTCCCACTTTATAGCTATGTCCTCCAAGGAAAAATGGCATACTTACTCCCTTCTCTTCCTACACTCCCATATTTCTTAATTTGGTTAATGAAGTCTGACCACACTTTGTACTTAACATCTAGGAACTGATGCCACCTTCCCAAAGTATTTATGAGTAAGCACCAGAGAAGTACGTGGCAGAAAGAAAACTGACTGTAGAGCCAGAAACCCCAAATGTAAGCATGGAACAAAAGGAACAAAACTTCTGTTCAGCTACATTAACTTCTAGACTGACTAAATTTTATACTGAATTTATTCCTTAAATCTAATGGTCAGGTACTTACACCATACTCTTCCATTTTTATTTTAGTTTTAGAGTTACAAACTGGGACAAAGCTTTAAACCAGCTTTGCAGCCAGAGGGTGAAGGGCTGGCATAAATGAAACCATATACCCAGATGCACTTAATTCTTTGCTTTAAACTGAAGTTTTCTACACACTTTCTGCATTCCATAGTGAGTTAGTGAATACTTTGCTCTCCTCAACTCCAAAACTGAATAAAACCAAAATTTTATTTAAAACAAGAGCAACAAAAAAGAACTTTCCCTGAAAAGCTGATGGATTCTCATGAAGTGATGTGATCTGACTGAAATCTGCTTTCCAAAGAGACAGCAGAGGCATGTGTTTTCTTTACTTTGACAGGACACCCACCTGTAACTACGTTGTGGTTGATCTGCCCTCCCAGAGATCCAAGAAGGTGTGCCACTCTAGCCCTTACTGCTTCCAAGGAGGGACTGTCATCCTAAATAATTCAACAGATCTACATTAGTAAATGAAGAATTACTTCTGTACGGAAGTAACTTGGTTTACACAGTAAATTGAGGTTTTATAGCTCTTACTAACATATGGATGAAAAAGGTGAAATGAAGAACCTGTGGGGAGAAGAACCACATCAAGAAGAGAAGAGTTTTTGTTCAATAAGCAAAAGGCAAGACTGGGAGGCATTTTCATCATCTTGTGGGCTTTTCAATTGCCATTTCTCAAGTAAAGGTTACAATTTTATTCATCACAGATAACACATAGGGAGTTCAAAAAGCAGAAAGAAGTCTGAATTAAAAATTACTCTTTTCATTTGCTTTAACCTCAGAACTTGAAGTTTAGATCCTATACCTAGATGTAAGCAGCCAAACAACTTTGATAAGCAGCCTGTATGGGATGGAAAATTCACTCATTTTCTTTGAAGACCACTAGGCTGAAAAGTTATGAGTAATTATGTTTCATAACTAAAAAAGATGTCAAGTTAGTTTGTGCACCAGAATACACAACTAAAACTACACTTATTTTGAGCTGCTTGAGAAGCCACTAGTCAAAATGATACTTATGTTTGACTTCTAAGACTATGAACCTATCCACAAGATAATTAAAAAAGCTACACACTCACAAAATGCTATTTGCACACTGCTAAACTGATACCAGATTTTAGGTGTAGAAGTTAAACTTTTATCTCCATAATATATCAGTCTAGCAGTGATGCTGACTTACAGCATCTCATCAGTTCCCTTTCCCTGCTTCATCCCCACTCTCATCTTACAATATGGCATCTTCCCAGCTATGCTGATGTAACAACTTTTTGAGCCATGCTGAGGTAGAAATAACTCTGAGAAAAAAAGTATGCATGCAAGAAATGAAGAGGGACTGTGGGAAGTGTTTAATTAACATTTAACTCTAAAAAGAAACAGCATTCTTACCAATGAAGAAGTCTTTGCTTTTCTTAAACGCTGTATCACAACTTTATTAAATCCCTTCTGGGCTGCTCGAGAGAGTTTCCTTACTTCCCAGTTATTCTGGGATTCAGCTGATGAACAAAAACCCAGCATATTAATATTAGTGTATTGTACCAGCTCCTCATGCACCAACACATAGTTTCTTTAAAAAAAAACACCCTGGTTTTCCCCTTTTTTAAGATGCAACAATTATTCTTTCATTTAAAGTCTTTATTAAGGAAACTAAGTTTCCACTAGTAAAAATTAAGCTGAGTTAAGGACACGAAGGACAAATCACAGAGAAGAGGCATATAAAATGGCTACAGCTCATGATTGTTCAGCAACAGCAAATCTTAGTTTGAGAAAAAGGTAAATTTTGGTGTGTAAGACAAGTTACATTGTTCCAGTTAGGGGAAATACAAAATATAGACAAAAAGTCTGTTGTGTCCATATCTCTGGGTGTAACTATGAAAAAACTATTTTCCTCTTCCTCAAAACTAACCATTTTTTGCTTGTATGTACCTGCAGATGTAGAGGTTTTCAAATAACCATCCAGAAGAGGTAGAACATCCTTGTAGTAAGGTTGCATTATATGTCTGGGGATGTGAGCTGACCAGTCTTCCAAAGCATCCAGCCCCAGATCAGCCATTGGGGTACAGCTAAGGCCCAGCTTAAAGGCATTCTAGGGGTCAAATGCAAAACCATCAGTCTTTCAGTTTTATTGACAAGTGTCACTTAAAGGTAAAGAAAACATCACTGAAAGTAATTCACACACAACCTATCTTCCTTCTTAGGAACTTTTGTCTGCTTAACAACTCAAAACCAGCACAGTGTAGCTATCATTATGCAATGCAGACACCAACAGAGTCAGCTTAGAGCAAAAGCAAATTCTGACATTTTACTTGTTTATCCAAAAGCCCAAGTCATTTGTATTCTATCTCCCTGAAGACAGCACAAAGCTTAATAGTCATCTTCATTGCTTAACAGGCTACTGACTTTGCCCCAGAGTTTTTGTACATGTTTTAGTGTTAACTATATATCACTCTGACTCACCTGCAGTGCAGGAATATAGGCTTTAATATCAAGCATGATGATGTCATGTGGTAAAGAGAGCAAAAAATTCAGACAGGAGGCCAACAACTCATCCTTATACTGTTTCATTTTTGCTGCAACCTAAAATTCATATAAATGTATCAAGAACAATCATAAGCCTTTTAAGGTCTTGATTTAGCTCTATCAATATCCATATAAAATAAACAACTCAAAACCAGTATTGGAATTCACCCACAG